TCTTATTATCTTCTCCGATATCAGATTAAAGAAGTCACATGAAAGAGAGTCGCCCTGTCTGAAACCCCGTCTGGTGGCGAACGGCAACAGAGCAGAGCTGCTGGTATTGCTCAACGTCATTTTTCACAGCCGTATGAGTTTTGGGGGGATGCCAAATTCAGACATAGCGGCATATAGGAAACTCCTTTTATTGCTGTCGAAAGCGGCTTTAAAGTCGACAAATAGGTGGTGAGTGCCCATCCTTTTCTAGCGGGTGTTTTCCAAGATTTGGCGTATTGTGAATACCTGGTCTATGGTAGACAATACATTCGATAAGACCTTGCAACCTATGAAGGGTGATCCCGCGGTAATTGGCACGCATGGCGGGGTCGCCTTTCTTGTGGATTGGGCAGAGTGCACTTGAATTCCGGTCGTCGGGTATGCACCTTATTACCTCCTTGCCATCGGAACTAAATAGCTCAGCTGACAGGCCGTCAGCTCAAGCAGCTTTGGCATTTTTCGTCATAGTCAGGCGCTGGGATCTCGACTCCAATGTCATCGACTGGGACCTCATGTTCGTCTTCTCCACTTCTTTCAGTGCATCTGCCATTCAAAAGGGTCGACACGTGTTCCCTCCATAATGAAACCTTCCGTAAGTCGCTCAACTCTCTGCTTAACAAGCAAGCATTTAGTGGTACTATTTTTGAATATCTAGGCAAAAATTTGGAAGTTAGGGGGGGCCCGGGGCCTCCCCCTGCCTCCCCCTGCCACTACCTGGCTACGCCCATGGATCGAATCTAAATTTTCAACAGAAATATTTTCGAAAGAAATAGTTTTGGAACCCCTTTTGTTTGACACCCAAATCGTAGTAATAGTTTGTCTACAGTTTTTATTAATTGATTTTCACTTAAAAAAGGCGGCACCGCTCCAATAAAATATCCCATTTGTTATTCCATATTATAAACTCTCAGTTAGCTCAATTTCATTGAAATTCCTCCAGCGGTTTTAGTGTGAAAGAGCAACAAACATACATACTCACACTCGCTCACAAAATTTCACATTCATAATCAGGGCTTCGGAGCGGAACGGAGCAAGAAGCTAAGGAGCAAAGGATTTTAGCTAGAGCAAAGAGCTGAAAAATTTCATTTGATCCTTAGCTCATTAAAGAAAAATTTATATATATATTTTGGTGTTATTTTCTGGCCTAGTATAAATTAAAGCAATAAATTTACTTACATTAAAATTTTTTTTGACGTTGAAAACAACCGTGTTAAATAAATTTGCCTATCTAATTAACTTGGCATTTTATCTAATTTTCTTTTGGAAGCAGAAGTGTTCCAAAGCATCTAGATGGATCAAAAATAAAATTTTCCAAAAAATTTCGCCTAAATCTTTTTGACGGTTAGGGATCGATATGGAAATAAATAAATTAATAAAAGTTTTTTATTGGGAGCGGGAGTGGAGCAAGAGCGGAGCTCGAAGCGAAATAAAATACCGGAGCGGAACTAGAGCGGAGCGAAGAAAAAAAACCCAGTGCGTGTAGTCCCTACGCGCGGAAGAAGTGAAACTTAATAGAGGAATTTCAGAAAGAAAGAAATGTGTGATATACGTACACATGTACATATTTTCTAATACACTAAATACATATTTATTTTAATTTTTTTAACGAGCTTTAATTTTTTATTTTTTATAACCAATTGCTAAGTTTAATTATTATTTTTGGCTGAGAAAACATGCATATCTACAATATTAACTAGTAGATTGTGGTAGCTAAAGTAAGATATAAAAAGTTTTATTTCAATATTATTAATATTTCTAGAAAAAATGCATCAATGGTAGCCGCTAATTTGGTTGAGGGAACATATCTACCAATAACCATTTCCAATGAAAATTTTTCTTTCACAAATTTTGTCAGTTCATCATACATGTATTCGGCCAGCGAAAAGTTTACGTTGAAATCTCCTGCGAGAATTACAGGTCGATCATAACAGTCTACTTATTTTTATATTCATCTTCATCTTCATCTTCATCTTCATCTTCATCTTCATCATCATCTTCATCTTCATCTTCATCTTCATCTTCATCTTCATCTTCATCTTCATCTTCATCTTC